GGGTAGAGTATCCTAGGGTTGAATTATTTTCATTCAGTGCCCAGAATACCTCACTCCAGGCCCTTTTTGTTTTAAGGTTTCCATTGAGAAATCTGCTGTGATTTTTATGGGTTTACCTTTATATATTATTTGCTTTTTCTCTCTTACAGTCTTCAATATTCTTTCTGTATTCTCTGTGCTTGTTGTTTTAATGATAATATGCTGTGGGGTAGTTCTATTTTGTTCAAGTCTGTTCAGTGTCCAGGAGGCTTCCTGTACCTGAATGGCCATAGTTTTCTTTAGATTTGGGAAATTTTCTGTTATTATTTTGTTGAATATATTACGAATTCCTTTTTCTGGTGTCTCCTCTCCTTCTGCTATGCCCATTATTCTCAGGTTTGGTCTTCTGATGGAGTGAAAAGGATATGATTTCTTGCATATTCCTTTCACAAGTCTTCAGTTGTCTAATAGTTCTTCAGTTTTTCCTTTAATTTCCATTTCATCTTCAAGTTCTGAGATTCTGTAATTTGCTTGGTCTAGTTTGCTTGAGTGGCCTTTCATTGTGTTTTGCATTTCTGTTTCATTCTTTTTCCTGAGTTTTTCCATTTCATGGGTCACTTCCTCTTTAATATTGTTAATTTTCATCCATAATTTGTTTATATCTCTGTTTATGGTATTCTGTTTCAATTTTGTGTTTATTTAGGGCTCCTATGACTTCATTTTTTTGTTTGTGTTTTCTCATATTCTTTATTTTTTTTTGTCTTGAAATTTCTTGAGTGACTCCTGTATGTTTTGGTTGACCATGTGTAGTAACATCACTATGAAATTCTCATTAATTACTTGTAGGATTTCTTCTTTCAAAGTGTTCTTGTGAGCTTCGTTGGGTTTCTTGGCATAGTTTATCTTTGTTTTGTTGGAGTCCGGATCTGGGTATCCGTTTTCTTCATTTCCCTCTGAATCTTGTACTAATTTATTTTGGGAGGTAAATGGTTTCCATCCCTCTTTCTTCTTCCCATCATTCCACTTGGTGCTTTTTCTGTCTGTGATCTATGTGTAATTTGGTATTAGCTAACTTACAATGGTAAAACTAATGAAACCAAGAAAGATGGAGCAAAAAGAAAAAGAAAAAATAGAGAAACAAAGAAATCAACAGGAAGAGATGGTGGACAAGCAAACAGTGAACAAGACAAACACTTGGAGAGAAAGAAAAAAAATTCCAGGTAGAATAACAATAGAATTTCAGTCTTAGTAGTTCTGGTGTTACTACTTCACCAGGAATGGATGGTGTTGGTATTTAAGTAGTAGCTCTCCCCAGGTGGTTGGGTCAGGAGACAAGCTCTGTGGACCACTATCTGCCATGCTTCAGGCAGTTGCTCATTACCTGCCTATGGTCAGGCATGCCTTTCTAGGATTTGTTTACTGAAAGTCCATGTGGAGTTCAGCTCCTTACCCCTCCCCCCTTCTCCAGTGCAGTGACTTGTTGTCCGTCTACTTTTCCAGGGTTTGTTTACTGGAAGTTTGCATAGAGATCAGCTCCTTGTTACTCCCCCTTCTCTGGTGCACATATAGCACCCCCACCCCTTCCTCTGCATGTCCTTTTCAGTTCCTTGTTTATTATCCACTTTTTTTTGTTTTGTTTTGTTTGCAGAGTGAGGGTCAAACTGTCCAGGGGGCTATGCTGGTTTGTCCCAGAGGTAGCTGTGGGAATACCACTTGCCGCTTATTTGCTCACCTGTTGGTATATGTCTCTCAAGCAGATTTTGAGCTGGCATCTGGTGGCACAGGAGCCCTCCTGTTTTCTAAGTATGACATGGCATGGAGTAGCTTTTAAAGGGCTGGGGGTTCAGGGTGTCAGAGTTTTGATTGCTCTTGGTAGTTTTTTTTCTGCCAACTGTGGCTCCAGCGTCTCAGCAAGATTTTTGATTTATGGAGCTCATGCTGTCTGCTTCTTCCCTCCAATTGCCATCTTGGATCCCTAATCCCTAAATTTTATTCATTCCTTGAGTTTCTAACTGCCCACCTTTGTATCCTGAATTCCTTACTGCAAAGTCTTTTCTATGTTTTAATAGTCAAATATTGTATAAAACTTTCCCTTGACATTGGTGGATTTCAAATTTTAATCAATATAGTTTTGTTTAGTGTATATAATCACAAACTACAGATAGATAAGTGCTCATCACTCATCACAAGCGTGGTATTAGTACATGTTGTAACTGTCAATTATTTTAAAAGAATAATTTTATATAAAGCCTAAATATTTTTAATTACAAGATTAATTGCATCAATCCTATGTAGTGTCAACAAATGGTATAGTGTGAAAACTATTTCTTTTTATTTTTTCTTCTGCATGCTCAATGAATGATAATACTGGTTCATTGGTTTTCTGATATTCAACCTTCACATTTACACTTGATGCTTTTTATATCAGAGATGAATCAAAATCTCACTTTGAGTCCCAATCCTCATATGCATTGTTTGTCAATTTTCATATTTATCATTTCTGATCCATAAATTTCAACTCTCTTAGTTCAGCTACCTGAAGGAAAATAATATTTATGATTTTGTTAGCTCACACCATGATTTAATAAGTAAAAAATACAAAAGAGAAAATAATGAAAACACCCCTGGAAAGTTTCCTCCCTTGTAAAAAGTGGAGATAATAATAACTGAGCTTATAAGTTTTTACCAAAAGATATGTTTAAAATTTTTAAACACATAGACACATTTATGAATATATTTACTTGTGAATAGTTAAAATTATCCAACTACTTTGAACAAAACTGAAACCAATTTAATCAGAAAATCTGCATATGAAGAAATTGGTATTTGTTTCTAGAATCAGAGTTGAGAAACCCTGCCTTAGAACATTTCCTGGCATTTAGGAAATGGTCCACTTGTATTACTTATTATTTTGCCTTTTACACTCACTACATATTTTTAAATACAAACCTTTAATAATATATGTGTCAAATCTGATATTTTACAGAGATTTGAATTTTTAACTATGGAATTTAAGGTCTGAGTCTATTTGCAAGATGTCATTCTCCTGCACACTTCTCTCTTAAAAACAAATATCAGAAATTTGTGTTGAGAGTTTCATTTCAATATTTCCCTGCCAGTATTGATTTATGAATCCATAAAGGATGTACTTCCTGGCTCAACTTGTACAGTGCCTGCCAAGCAAGCACAAGGACCTGAGTTCAAACCCCAGTACTGCCAAAAATATAAATAAATAAAAATGCCTAAAATTCATGTAAGTATTATAAAACACAGCATTGTTTTCCCCAGAATTATAATAGTTCACAATGGTGTGTGGTTTTTTTTTTGTCTCTTTGTTAAATGTTACCATTGACAACAAAGTCATTGCCATTTTCACAGTAATATATGAGGCAAGGATATCAATCAGTTTGTCCATTTACTATTACAATAATTCTTTCAAAATTCTTGTCTCTTTCCATCCCATAGGAGTATTTTGATATAAATGTGGGTAAAGAATAGTTGTTAGCCCTCAAACAACTGACTTGTGACCCATTTTCCCACAACTAGTGTACATTTTCCAGTTTATAAAACAGTCACTGTCAATGATATCCTCTGAAGTTTAACATATAGCTTCAAAACTATCTGTGTACTCTATCTGGAAACAAACTTTCATTGGACAAATACTAATAAATTTCATCTTGTTTGAGGAATATTATTTCCATTTGGATCCAGTTAGGCAAACAGTGCACTGGGATGGAAGCCAGGAAGTGAACATTTTACTTTCATATTATTGACCTGATTATGTGCAAAGGATGAGTGTTCACTTCTGAAATATTCTGTGTTCACAATGCTTCATAGAAATGTGAAAAGCATCAACTATCTCCCCAACATATTTTCCTGGGTAAACTGAAAGTTTATTTGAAATTCCAAGCATCACCATTGTGGCTTTTTCAAATAAAAATTCCACCATTATGGAAATAACACATTTATTGAATACTGAAATTATACATAAACATTAAGTCTGGAATGTCGTAAAACTCAAAATTGTGCCTAAGCCAAATGTACAAAGTCTTTCTCTTTTTTCTGTTTTTATAACTATGAAAATGTTTGCTATAGTATTTAAGTAATTAAATGTTATATACATTATAAATGGATTTATAGGTCCAGATGTGAGTGACATGGAAAGAAACAAGAATAGTTTCTTCCCTTTTGAGTTTTATGAGACATTCTGTAAAAGGGATGGAAATGAGGTGAGGAAGAACCATATATTTTGAAATGATATTTATTTAAGACAACTTGTGGGAACCAAAACATGGCATATTTGATATTACTTAATAGAGATTTTTTAAAACTTTTGAGGTCCCTTCTATGCTAAGCAAGGTATCAGTTGGAGAGATCAGAAATAAAAATGTTAGGCATCCCTTTTCAAATACACACCATTTAGTTACACAAAACAAAAATAAAATTGCCTGTTACAGAAATAGGCAAACTGAAACATTAGATATAGATATTTTAGTTGGACAGTATGAAATTTATCCCTATAATTAATGCTAATGATAATATCCAAATGGTGCCTCAATTATGATTTACCCTTCCTTATACATTCACTACCTATTAATTATTGGGTAGCAGTCATTAAGTATTTAATCCTAGCTCAATGCAGTTATTTCAGTTAGAAATGATCTCAGATGACAATACTGACTCAGAGTTACTAACAAGATGTTCCATGTCACAGAAATAGTAAGTGGAACTAGTGCTGCAAAATTAAAATGTCAGTGTCTGAGTCTGAACCATTACATTCTTTCATTCTTTCACCAACATCTGTTAAGTTTTCATCTCCCAAAACTGAAACTTTGCACTGTGTTTAAATACTGTCTACCTCACTCAGACCACAGGTCTCTAAATCACCATTCTGCACTATGATACACGATGGGGATTCAAAATCATCACTACAAAAGGAATTTAAGATTTAAAGTCTAGATGTTCAATGTTAAAGACCTCTCCTACCTATATTCCATTGAGATGCGTTAGATACTGATGTTTTACTTTTTGTTTTGCAGCTTCCTCAAAGCACTTTTAATTTCCCTGTTTCTTAGGCTGTAGATGAAAGGATTCATCATAGGAGTCACCACTGTGTACATCACTGAGGACATCACACCCTTTCTGGGAGAATGTGATACAGCTGATCCAAGGTATATTCCAACACTTGTTCCATAAAATAAGCAAACAACTGACAGGTGAGACCCACATGTGGAGAAGGCCTTATACTTCCCACCAGATGATGGAATTTTCAGAATAGAGGAAATAATTTTGTAATATGATAGGAGTATCAATGAGATGGGACAAAAGCCATATATGATACCAACAAAATAAGTGACTATGATTTTCATGAAAGTTTCAGAACAACCAAGATTAAGTATTATAGCGGGCTCACAGCAGAAATTAGAAATTTCTACATCTATGAAGTAGGTAAACTGCAAGACTATCAAATTGTGCCACTGGGAGTTCAAAACACTAAACAAAATGGATGCTAAAACCAAGAGGGCACAGATATGAAGGTTCATGATGACTTGGTAATGCAGTGGGTGACAGATGGCCACAAACCTATCATAAGCCATCACAGTCAGAAGCATATCATCCATACTTCCAAAATAATAATAAAAGACATCTGTGTTAGGCAGTCCACATGATTCTACTGTGAGTTTGGATGTTCACAATCATCTTGGGGACTGTGGTGGAGATGAAACAGATGTCAGCCAAGGACAGGTTGGAGAGAAACAAGTACATGGGTGTTTTGAGGTTAGAATAAAAAATGACAGCCAAGATGATAAGCAGGTTCCCAATTATCGTGACCAGGTACATGGACAGGAACAGTCCAAAGATGGTGGACTGTAGTTCTGGATCCTCTGAGAATCCCAAGAGTTGAAATTCTAACACATGTGTTAGATTTTGTGCTTCTACATTGCTTGGACACCTTTGAGGGAAAAAAGATGTAAAATTAGACAAATAATTAGTCATCCTGTACTTTGTGTATAATGGTTTACAACGACATGTAGATTTAAGTCTTTCTGTGAGTACATGCAGCTACTACAAATTTCAATGATGAACCCCATTACTTCAGGAGGTTCATCAAATAATTTACCATTTATTCCTAGGACAATCCTTTCAAAATTCCTGTGTCTCTGTACATCATACAAGTTAGGATTTCATAAATTTAGCGAATGAGTAAAGGAGAGTTGCTTGATTTCTTTCGTACATTTTAAGTTTATATTGATTGACTACATTTGTTATTCTCATTCTTATTCATTCATTCATTCATTGTTATTATCAAGACAACCATTATGAACTATGTCATTTAGTTCTTTATTTTACATGCTGGAAATTGAACACAGGCCTCAAGTATACTAAACAAGTGCTGTGCCATTTGAAGTATGGACAAACTTTTATTTTTATATTTATGGCATATTTTTATCAACATAACTTAATTGTACAATGAGTTTTCATTATGGTATTCCATGCATGTATAAGTGTACATTGAGTGAATTCACCTCATGTATTATTCTTCCATGTTTAACAGCTTTAGAGGGTTTTATTATGGTATTTTCAAAATACATGTGTATAATATTCTTTGATTATATTCACCCCCTCCAATGCCCTATATTTTCTCATCTCCCTGGCAACAAGTTCTTGCCAAACAGTCTTCTACACAGTCATGTCTTATCATTATTTTCTCTACTATTACTTATTTAAATTCTGTATTTGAGAGAAAACTTCTTATGTGTCTGAGCATGACTTGTCTTGCTAAACATGAACTCCAGTACCATTCATTTTCTTGCAAATGTCATAATTCATTCTTCTTTCTGGAGGTAATTGTCTCTCTAACCTCGACTGGGTTTGCTTCAAACTCAAGATTGTCCTGCTTTCATTTCCCTAGTAGGTGGGAGTACAGACACTGCCATCACTTCATTTTCTTAATGTGAATATGGCCTGCAAAAAATATCACTATGGCCCATCTTGGAAAAATCCATTCAAAATAAGTAAATAAGGAATTTCATCTTGCACTTGGAACACTTCGATTTGGCTTCAGTAGAGAACATAGTGCCCTGAGATATGTGTAAGGAAATGAGCATGTATTCTGTGTCATTCATTGGCTGTGACATGCACAATGTGTATAAATTCTTCCACCTCTCTGTGCTCTTACTGCTTCATGGAAATAGGGTGAATAATATCCATCTCAACAACATATATACCATGAAATCTAAGTTTGGGAAATGATTGTTAAGTAAATTACTAAGTATTCGACCATTTTGATTTATGTCAAAAAAATTCAATAGTTAAGAAATTAGAGAATTTATTTATGAATACAATTGTTAAAGAACTCTGAAAACCTGGAATGATGTGAATGTATAAAATGCGTCTCACTTAGGACTTAGCATTATCCCTGCCCTCTCTCGTTTTGTCCCTTCTTAAATTTATCCCTGTAAAGACCTTTTACATTGATTTTAAATAACTGAATGTTGTTGAATGGAGCTATGTTGCCATCTGTCCTTGACATATACAACAATAATAGCTGTTTTGTCTTCTCTCCAGTTCTAAGAGACTTTCCTGAAAAGGATAAAAGCTCTTCTCAACACTATCATATGTACTAAAGCCACACTGATTAAGACCAATTTTTGTAAGGCAAAGAAGGCTCAATGATTACCATGCTTTTAAAATTCTTGATGTCCCTTACTGCCATACACAATATACATGCTGGAGAATCAGAAATGAAAGATAGCTGGTTATTTCTCTCCAAAAATCATGGCATATATTTATATAAGGCTAGATATAAAATTTGCTGTTTCAAAAATAGGAAAATGTTAATTTTGGGTTGCAGGATACTTATCTTGAATAGTTTGGTGAATAAATTTACCATGACTGATAATCATAACTAAATTTCACATTGTATTTTATTTGCCATATATTTATCATACATGGAGAATGCATATCTGTTCAAGCATTTTTCAATGTGGTTGTAAAAACTAGAAATCAATTCAGGTGATAATTTTGAACCTCAGGGGACCTAAAAGCCTTTTGTTGATCCAACAAGATTCCAAGCACTTTTGTTAGTCTCTGGTTAGTAAGATGTACTAATTTCTGTCATTGTTTAGCAAATTCAAAAAGTTTTAAGTAGAGCTACAAATATTCTATCCACATGTATACCTCAGGTACATTTTAAAAATCTTTCTAGTTCTCTAAGTAAAAATACAATCAACACCTGACTTTATGTCTCCATTTGAGATGGAATGAGCTGATTACAATAATGCAGCTGGATGTGGGCAGCTTTAAGGATATACTGGAGTAGGGGAAAGAACAAGGTCATTGCTTAAGGATGGCTTGCCTTCCTTTTCTGTTATCTTTTCCTATGAGTTCAGCAGTTCTGTTACAATTGATGCAACAAGTGATGCACACTTAACTGCACTACAATCTACCAGAACCCCACAAATGGAATAATATAAACATCCTGGAGTGACAGGGAAGTGAAATGACAGATTGAGTGGTCAAGGGCACAATCTGTGAGGAATAACCTGGTAAAAATGCCTGTGTCTTCAATAAGACAATCTAATTAAAACTGGACTTCAGAGATTTCACCATAAAATATACCACAAATTATATAAAAATATTCCTTTTTCTTTTCTAGAAAATAAAAATGATGTAGTGTAATTTGGGGAAGACATGCTGATGACAGATTGCTCAGAAACCAAAACTCAGGAATTTCTTACTAATGTTTCATGCTGTAAAGGGTACATCCTTATCCTAGTTTTTATCCTCATCATCACCTTCATGAACATTCCTCAAGTTTTAGTAAACAATTTAGTTAACTCATTTTCTGCTATGTGAGTGAGATATTTATGGATGATCAAGCTAGTATAGGAAAAAAGCAATATTTGAAAGAAATTTATGACACAGTGTCTACAATCAAGAACATAAAATTCACTGTCCTCCTACTGAAATACTGCACTTTTTTATTCCCCCATTTGTCTATCTGAAGTGCTAGTACATGTTGTTAATTAGGTGACAATACTTTTCACAGCTATGCTTCCATATTTATGTCATTCAGGACTTACTGATTTGCACTTCGTCTCTGGTGGCTCATGACAAAGAAGTGCAGATCCAGTGCCCATCTGCTGTGTGATGCTCAATAATGTTTCATGTGTTACCATCAGCACGTATATGAGTGAAGTCTCAGAAAGGAGTTTTCTGATGCAGACAACCACAGAAACAGGAGGCATAGGTATGGAGGCATCCAACTGAAGGCATAGAGGCACTTGCTAATTATTTACAATTAAATGAACTTAGAGGCTCAATGCACAGAGCTCATAATTAGTGAAATTGGCCCAGCATTCACAAACTCTAAGTACTTCTTGATATTAAGGGAAAACAATAGAAAATAATTGTCCACAAATCTTTTGAGCCTGTGAGTTGACAGAAGAGGAAGCATTAGTGTACAACATACTTTATTTTATTTTTACCTCCATTTATATTATGGTTAAATTAAATATCAAAAACTTATTAATTTCACCTTTTTCAAGAGCACATCTCAGTGACATTTATTGCACTCAAATTGTGGTGCCTCCATCACAAACATCCTTCTCCAGAAAATTTTCTCTTTCATGTTCTGAAGACATCTACCCATGATAAAATGTACCATTCATTTCACAGTGCACACTGGCTCCTAACATTCTGCTATGAAACACAGTGAGAAATTAGAGACATCAATCTAAAAAATATAATGAGACTGTGGGAGTTTTTAGCACTGAAGGTTTAGTTCTGTACTTTCCAACTAGATGTTTAAACTGTTACCACTTGTGCTGTGATTGCTTTGCTGTAGAACTGTAGAAAATACATAGATCACTTTAAAAACCCTTTTCCTCAGGCTGCACATAACAGAGTTCAGCATTGGTGATCACAGTGTAAATGACTGAAGCCAGCATATCTTTTCTAAGAGATTGTGAACCAAGAAACACAACAGCTCTTGTTTACTAAAACAAAGAAGCAAATCATGGGTGAGACATACATAAGTGATTCTCACTCAATGATGGACAATGAAGGAAATAATTTTAATAAGAAAAAAGTGTACACTACGTGGTAGAAACACAAAATATGGCAACAACAAAATACTTAATGTAATTCCAGTTATCAGAACAGGAAAATTAAGTGCTTGAGGAGGGTCACAGAAAAAACTGGAGTTTTCCACATGCTTATATGAGTAAATTATAATGTAAATGATGGTAACTACAAAAGATGTGACTATAAAAGACTAAACCAAAAAATGGCAAAAGTAAGAACACACAGAAGTGAATGTTCATGTTCACCTGGTAGTACTGTGGGTGACAGATGGCCATATACCAGTTATACATCACAGTAACAAGCAATCACCCACATATCAACAATTAAATGGAAAAATTGTTATCAGGATTAGTACCACATCCTCTTGTGCACCCCAACATCAAGAGTCCCCCTTTTAAGTCCATGTCTTCTTCCCTGTTTGCTCCTGGTGGTATTGGAATTGAACTAAGAGCATGGTGCATACTATGGAAACTTTTCACCCTTGATCTATATAATGAGCCCTTTTCTGTGTGTTTTGTTTTTCAGAAAAGGTTTCCAAACTTTGCATGAACTATCTTCAAACTGATAAGCATCTTGTCTCTGCTTCTCCACCAGTAGTGAGGATTATAGGCATGTTGCAACATGGATGGCTGTTGGTTTGTAAGTTCACATTCTGCATATGAGAGAATACGTGCAATATTTGTTGTTATTCTGAGGCTGACTTTCTAATCCTTAGCATGGTGATTTCTAATTCTTTTTTGTAGCTGAATGATACTCCATTGTGTATATTACATATATGTATTACATATATATTACATGTATTATTATATGTATTATATGTAATATATATATTACACGTAATATTATATGTATTACATATATATTACATATATGGCATAATTTATTAATTGACTCACATGTTTGGGACATCTAGGCTGTATGCACAACTTGGCTATTTTGAATTGTGCCACAATAAACATAGAGTGTAGGAATCCTTTTATGTATGTTGACTTTGATTCCTTGGGTTATATGCCTATTAGTGGTATCACAGGACCATATGATTTTTTGAGGAACCTCAATCCTGATTTCCATAAGAACTGGGGTAATTTAAATTCCCACCTACATGGTACAAGGTTTGCTCTCCTGAATCCTCAGCAGCATTTCTTGATATAGATATTTTGACTAGAGTGAGATAGAATCTCATTTCATTTTGATTTGCATTGGTTTAAATTTTGTTTTTTAATTTTTTAACATTTTTAGGAGTATATAATTGTTGTACAGTGAATTTTGTAGTGACATTTCTATAAAGTCTTACAATGGACTCTAGTTTGTTTTATTCCCTTCATTGTTTCCTTCTTCCCCCTCTCCTTCTTAAAATGACCTTGACAGATTGTCAACATATGCCATGTTCATATATGTGTAGAAAATGAATTTACCATATTTTCTCCTTTTTACCTTCTTGATTTATTCTCCATCCACTATTACCTCTTCTTACATGACCAGTTATACATTCTTGTTCTTCATTAAGTGTCCTTTCATTGTTCAGAAGGGTGTTCCTTTTCCTTGATGATTAAGACATCAAACATTTTTCATAGGTTTATTGTACTTCTTCACATTATAAGTATCTGTACCAGGTGTCTGCCCACTTATTGATAGAATGATCTGTTTTTTAAATATTCTTGTGTTAGTTTTAGATTCTGGACATGAATCCCTTCTAGTTATAATAGCTGGAAAATTTTTTCCCCATTCTCTATGTTGTTTCTACATTCTGGTAATTGTTTCTTTTGCTGTGCAGGAAGTTTTAGTTGATTTAATGACACGTGTTAATTCTTTCCCTTATTTCTTTAGTTTTTATCCTATTTAGAAAGTCATTGCCCATGGTAGGTATTGAAGTTTTTCACTAACTTTTATAGAAGCTTACAAATTTCAGGTCACATTAAGTAAGGTTTTTGGTCCATTTTGAATTAAGAAAGTTTCAGTCTTTTCAATATGGTTATTCAGTTTTGCCAACACCATATGTCAAAGAGGCTATCTTTTCTCCAAGGTATGACTTCAATCTTTTATCAAAAATCATATGATCCAGCAGTATCACTCCTAGGGATAAACCTGAAGGAATGTGACTCAGGTCATTACAAAGGCACCTGTACACATATGTTTATTTGCAGCACTATTCACAATAGCCAAACTGTGGAAACAGCCAAGATGCCCCACTACTGACAAATGGGATAAGAAAATGTGGAATTTTATTCAGTTACAAAGAAGAATGAAATTTTGTCATTTGCAAGTAAATGGATGGAACTGGGGAACATCATTTTAAGAGAAGTTAGCCAGGCTCAGAAGGCCAAAAATCGCATGTTTTCCCTCATATGTGGATTATAGACCTGAAAAAAATGCAGTAATATTATTGGACATAGGTCACACACTAAGGGAGAATGTACATTGGAGAAATAGGCAAAGAAAGGAAACCTAAAACTTGAATGTGGTTGATGCTCTCACTGTAGGGGAGTGAATATAGTAATCTTAAACTGAAAGAGGCCACTGTGGGAAGGGGACCAGAAAGTAGTGAAGAGGTCTGGTAGAGATGAACAAATGTGGTTTGCAATACACATGTGCATGGAAGCAATGCTAGCAATCTCTCTGTATAGCTATCTTTATCCCAAACTAGAAAAACCACTATGTGTTTCTTATTATCTCCTATGTTCTCTCTTCAACAAAATTGGAGAACAAAGAGGGCAACACAGGTTCTGCCTTGAAGTGGGGGCAGGAGGAGGTGGCCCAAGCAAAGTATACACATGTGAGTAAATGTGAAAACAATAAAATAAAAGAGAAGGAAATTTTTGCCCAGGATGGCATGATACTTTCAGTCTATGCCACTTGAGACTTGAGTGGCTAGGATTATAGACTTAAACCACTGTGCCTAACTAGATAAATCATTAAAATTTTTTACATGTATAGAAATCAGTTCAGGAATGCAAACATGTCCATGAAAATGTACTGTATGTGGTCAGTGATTTCTTTTGAGATTGATGTGTAAAGGATAATGTAACTGTGCAAGTGATCAAAGTCTCAAATTTTACTAATTATACTTCCACAAGATATTAAGTATCTAAGAAAAATGTTAAAATATCATCACTTTAAATATAGGTAGCATTAGTGATCATTATTATTAGGTACTATGTTCTAAATGCAAGGGAATGTAATAAGGTAGTTGTTTAAACCCTGTTTGAAAAGGCCACCTAATGTTTCAGTGCAGGCTCTGACTAAATTAGCTTTTGTCTGAGGCTGGTGTTAGGATCTTGAAAAATACTCACAGGAAAACAGATTGATAATGAGACTGAAACACTCTATCTACACATTGAAATATCTAAAAATAACTTAGAATGAACATACGGTAGATAAATATTTTGCCCATTTTACAGATGAGGAAAATGTATGCTGCTTCCTGTATTTTTCTCTTCAATATTTAGTCAGTTAACACATGCTGTCAGTTTACAGAATAAGGAATCCAAGCTCCTTCATGTTTTAAAGAGAAAATGATATGCATGTTCTATAAAGATGGATGGGAATAATATTTTATTTAGTCATAAGATGTTTGAACTGAATCCGATGCTTTGAAACTTTCTCAGGATGCTAAAATCCTCCAAACATATATAAGGTGGTTTGTGATTAGGAAAAACAATTATGCAGTATGTTCATGATGCTATAAAAACACTTTCTAAAACAGTATTTTACTGTGATTGCATAGATCTGTCATAAAAAAAACTGTGTACAATACAAAATTTCAAAGTTGTAAACAATTCCTTTTGGAAAATCAATTGCCAATGTTATCCTATTGATTAGGTACATTTAACTAATCATATTGATGAAAATGTGAAGTTCATCAAAGTCATTGTTAGTAGTAATACATTAAATAACTTCTGTCTCTCCTTTAAATCAACCAAAATTGAGTATGCACTTACATCTATGAAATAGGAAAAGAAAATAAATAAATAAAATAAAATAACTCAAAAGCAATAATGTTGAAACCATCAGAATATTATTGAAACA